AACACCAGGGGAAATCAAACAGGGAGCGAAAAGAGAATATGAATGTGTGTCAGATCATGGTTCTTACAATGATAATACATATGTATACATATGTATATATAATCAGCCCATATATATCATATTGGGATTTCTCTAGAAACCAGTGTACATTAAAAAATATCAAAAAATAATAATCAAAAAATAATCTTATATAACAAACATAATGGTTATCAATATATAGAATCATATTGGCAAATTAATATATATTGAGGTCTCAATTTCACTTATACCACCAATCAAAGCAAAATTTATAGTTATTCATTATCCCACCACAAGGCAGTATAGTTAGTTTACGTTCATTTAAAGGGAGCGATACTGGAATCCACAAACTGTCAAACAACTTACAAACATGAAATAAAATGAAAAATGAAAAATAATAACTATACACACACATACTGTTACTCATACTGGAACACTGATACACACATATCTTTAACTTCTCTCTTTCTTTATTCTCCTTAAACTGTACCCACCTAAAAAAGCCATCTTGTGACCCATCTTCGCCATCTTACTGGCACCCATATCTTGACTCCCTTCTCCTCAAAGCTTCTGGAACGACTTGTCTGTAACCATCTGACACACTTTCTCAACTCTAACTCCCTCTTGATCCTCTTCAACCTGGCTTTCACCCCCCATTCTACTAAGACTGCTCTGACTAAACTAACTAATGATCTAATCACGGCTGTATCCAAAGGCCACTACTACATACTAATTCTTCTAGACCTCGCTCTCCTTCTCCAAACTCTGTACACCCTTGACCTTTGTTACATTACATTGTCATTCAGTGGTTCTCCTCATACCTCTATGAACAATCTTTCATTGTCTCTATCTGGTAACACCTCTTCCCCCATCCTGACTAAGTTGGAGCCCCCCAAGGCTCAGTCCTCAGTCCCCTTCTGCCTCTTTTTGGCAAGCTTTACCATTCTTTTGGGTTTCACTACCACCAATATGCTGATGACACCCAGATAATCCTCTCTTCCCCTAATATTCCTCTGCTCCAATGATCTCTCTCCTGCTGTCTTAGAGTGAATCTCCAGTTGCCTCTCTTCTGTCTCCGACTGGAAGTCCTTGTGCTTTCTAAAACTCACACTGTGCTTCTTCTCCTCCCTCAATATAATCATTTTAAGATGCTACTAAGAAGTTGGCTCATGCTCTTGTGATTTCTCGCACTGACTACTCCAGAAACCATACTGCCTCCATACAGCAGTCCATAATGACTGCTGCTGCCAGTCAGATTTTTCTCTCCCGCTTCTCTTCTCACATTTAACTCCTCTGTCAGTCATTACATTGGCTTCTTGTACCCTACAGGATTCAATAAAAAAGATTAACTCTTACCTTCAAATCTCTCAACAACTCTACCCCCTTGTTAATTTATAAAATCAATTCTACAATTCATAGGTACAACCCATCTCAGCCACTTTGCACTGCCAGTGACCTTCTGTCTGCTGCTTGTACCCATACTGCTAACCTTTAACTTTCTAAACTTAATTAGTGATTCCATTCTCCACATCGCTTTCATGTCCAATCCTTCTACTTTCCCACTGAGTCACTTCTTATTCCCCATGCTGTCCTACCTATTGAGTTTATACGCCACCACCTAAATATTGTATGCTTAATTGAGCAGGGTACTTTTTAACTTTTTATCCCTGCCAACATTTGCAATAGTTTGCCTCATTTCTTGTCAAATTTCACCCTTAATAATATTTAAAAGCACTGAGGAAGAACCAGACAATGTCTTTGAACTAGTCTTCCAGGGCAAGAGGGTTCAAGCAGTACTCGCACCAACCTAAAGTATTGCCTTTGCGTGAGTTGATAGATGTACATCCAGCCTTGTCAAAACCGATTATACTGCTAAGTGGTTATGGCGATAGGAGTGTTCCTTTAAGTAATACAACTTTCAAAAGAGAGACATTATGACCTGAATATGTGTAACGAGAGATACCAGAGAGGTGATATGAATCTTCAAGTATATAAGTGGAATTTACAAAGTTAAGGTGAAAATTTTTATACAAAAATAGCAATATGAAAAAATTGGACGTTAACAATTTAGAGGCAAATTTTGTCATTACAAAAATGGTGGTTAATGCATAGCACAAACATCCATTGGAGGTGGTGAATGTACAGACTGTCAGGGAATTCAAAACCATTCAAGGCTATGTTAAAAACTGATTAATTCACTCTTTACATATGCTATAGGCAGCCATGATGAGCCTTTTGGGTGTTATCTGCGATCAAAGTCTATGTTTATATGTTTTCATGACATTAATCAGTTCTCATTCACAGCCCACCTACTAGTTATTGCAGTTAGTGACAGACTATGACATCTTTGTTTAATATTTATATTGTTCAAACAAGAGAGAAAAGTCAATACGTGCAACCTCTTGCATGTTCCATGCTCCTGTTTAAATGCAAAGGCTGTATTTATTGTTGCTGTTTGCCACCTAATCCTTTTAGATCTCATTTACTAACCATACACAAGATCCAGCGCACTCACCGATCTTGTGTATTGTATAATTTGGCCCCCAGCAGCACCCCATTTATGCATGTTCAGCTGAGTGCAGCCTCCCCCCCTGTTTCATTTACTTACTAACCAGTGATGTGCCCCAACAGGGCATTATTAATTAAAAACAAAGTTAGAAGAATCGCCCTTTATTGGGGTTGAGTTGGGAAAAACGAAATATCACCTTTCAGTTTACCTATTTGAGTCTCAATTGTGCAGCTCAGTTTTCAAATAACCGTACATCACTGTATACTGAATAAACCCCTTTACATGCACTAATTTAACCTGTGCATAGCAAAATCAGCTCTAATTTATAACATTGTCAGAGATTTTATAAAGATTTCATTTTATAAAGATTTCACTCTTTCCATCATACTAATTTAATCTCAATCATACTCGCAATGGACAGCCAGCTAACTCTCTGAGACTATTTTTGAAAGAGACGGACAGAGGAGGAAATGCAGATGGGCCCCCAAGGGGACAAGTTTTGAGTTAAACCTTTAAAAATAACATTTCGTAGGAACTCCAGCCCCCTATAACATCTTCATTGAGATTTGAGATGAAGTCATTATGGTGTGATGTTTTCCTTTAAACTTGGTAATAAATTCATAGTAATTGTAATATTCTTTGTATTTATTTATTTAATTTTAGAAATAAAGCTGCTCCCTATACTGGGAATTTGGCAGAGTCTGGGAACTTTAGCTGGATAATATTGCTACATTTACATTTCCCATATCATTTTTTTTAAAGTATCTTACTCATCAAAAAAGACACTAACTTTTACTGGTAGTTATCCAAAATAAAAGTGTTTAATTCCTAGAATTGGGAAGATGGGTAGTATAACTCACTTTGCATGAATGCAAAAACACATTCTGCTGTATAAGCATGAGGCTGACCTAAACTGACCTGACTTTTCTTAAGCTATAGGATTTACAGTCTTCAATGATGTGTACATATTGTCTAACAATATTAATATCTATCTATCTATCTATCTATCTATCTGTCTGTCTGTCTATCTATCTATCTATCTATCTCCTTCCATCCATCCGTCCATCTGTCTGAATAAAAATGAAAAACTAATTATTACATAGTACGTAGGCTCAGAAAAGGCTTGCGTCTGCCTTTCTCACAGCTGTTTCTGCTATTGATCCAAAATAAGGCAAACAACTTAGTTTGAAGCACTTTCCAATTTCCAATTTTTCAACTAACTAGGAAAACAATCCTTCTTGACCCTTGAATGGCAGTCAGATTTCTCCCTGGATCAAGAAGCTGTCACCCTACATATGAAATAATATATATTCCAAAAAATTACATTTTTGCAAGAATCCAAGTCAAAGTTCCTAAATCTATATAGACTCTGATAAAACCACCTCTTCAGGTAGAGTATTCCACATCTTTATGATTCTTATTGTAAGAAACCCTTTCTTTTACCTTAGACTAAATCTCATTTCTTCCAGTCTAAATGAGTGACAGTGTCCTGTGTATAGTCCTATTTATGAGTAGATTTCCAGACAATGGTTTGCATTGGGACAGATTTGGATAGGACTGGAACTGTGGTCAAGAATAGACTGGGTGTCAAAATTACTAGTGATCCCCACAAAAGATAGGAAAACCAAATCGGTTAAAATCCCTTATGGTTTATTCACCCCTTAGGGCCAACCTAAAATTATTCAAACATTAATCCTGACAGTCACAATCTACGTGTTTCTTTTTTAAACTTTATCAAGACAATATACCTATGTTAGTAATGCCCTTGAAATAAGACAGGAAATTTGTGAGCCCTCCATCCACCCATTAGGGAGTACACAGCGTAACAAGCTAGATAGATCAGGTCTGTGTAATGTATACCAGACAATGCATCAGAGGTAGAAATACACTTAAAGCTGTTTTGTAAAACCCTATAAATACATACAGTGAGTCAGTAAATGCTATGAGTTAAATGTCCATATTGTAACAACCCTATATGTTATGCTACAATGCCACTAGAATGGTAAGATTTAAATCCACGGTCAATATAATAGAAACTGGATCATTAATTTCCAAAGCAAATGCAGTAAAACCCCTGTATTGACAAGGATTAATATAACATATTATCTGAGACAAACCTAACCCTTTGGAACTCCAATAAGTGAATAGTGAGTAGAGAGAGAACCACTAAACGGTGAATCCATGCATGTGTTAAACATAGATGCAGGTGTGTTATTTGCTTTATAAATCATAACACACAAACCTAAGTTAGGCAGAATTATTATCCAACAGGACATTTAGTATATAAATGGAATTCTACATTATCCAACAGGACAAGTATATAAATGGAATTCACAAAGTTAAAGGACCACTATAGACACCCAGACCACTTCAGCTCAATGAAGTGGTCTGGGTGCCAGGTCCCTCTAGTTTTAACCCTGACAAAGTATTATCGGTCCTTAGAGGTTGCTGGGTTTCTTGCAAAATTCCAAAACAGGCAAAAAAAATTAAACAGGCTGAAATCAAGGGAGAATAGAAAATGAGTATACAAGCCAACGTCATGATAACAGAAATCAGAGTAAGAAGAGTTAGTAAATCCAATTGTACAGTGTCAATCTAGCAATGCCACCAGGTTACAACATATGCCACGCCAATGCCAAGATGAAGCAGGAAAGAGGGGTAAATGACAGTGGGTAAAGGTATCATTAAGACTTGAATAAATAAGATCCACAAAAATGTGAATCCTCACAGGACCATCTAAGGACCTAAACAAAATGAAGAAGGTGGACAGTTGTAACGGACCGTTTTGCACACAAGGGGTAAAAACCGTTTAGGCGATCGGCCCCCTTTCCAGAGATACAGGCACAGCTACTGCAGAACACCAAACTCCCGAACTGGATACAAAATAGCACTCCAACTCCCGAACTGGAACCTCCCAAATAGCTGCTAGCAGACGAACAGGAAAAGCAGACAATCAGCTTACACTCCTGGCAATCAGTCTCTAACAGCATACAGTGAATCCCCCCAAGAACGAGACAAGGCTCCGTGTTGAGGGTCAAGCAGTGGTCTGAGGTGCTGGCACACCCAGCCTGGTTTTTATTACAGTCTTGCAAATACAGGACCGCCCACAGGGAGGTATAAAACAACCAATCACATCACAGTTACATCCCACATATTCCCTCCCCTTATCCTGAGAGGAAACTCAATTTACATACAGTTAAAACATACTTTCTACCCAACTTTCATAACTCTAAAACCATACATCACATTCACATAAAATTACATATTCACAATCAATCCATTCAGGGGAACAACATATTTAAAAATGGCATGAATCAGACCAGGGGTTCAAAAGTTAGTAAAAAGTCCTTTGTGACTAAATGAAGCATGGCTTTCTGGCCCAAACCAGTTTCAGAGTCTTCTATCCTGGAGAGTAATTCAATTATCTCCCAGGACAGACACAAGACTCCATTAAGCACATGCTTGCAAAAAGACACAAAACACTTTAAAATACATAAATAACATTTATTACATAAAACACAGACATGTAACATATCCCCAGATAGCTCAGGTCTGAGCGCACATTATTAAGTGAATGGCGCTCAGACCACACAAATACAGTTTAATCGCCATGGAGCCAAAATCTTTACAGTCAGTTTCATACGAATGGGCTCCATGGGATTCCTATCTGGGGTATAACACATTAACCAAAACTACCGAACCCCAGGCAGAAAAGCATGAATGAAGCTTTTCTGCAGGTAAAAAAGATGTCTTTTAACAGGGGACCATAGTCCAAAGGCAGCAGGCGAGCAACCAGGCTTCTCCAATGCAATGTGGCGAGATTGGTCTCGTCACATCTCTCACCTTTTCCAAACAGACTAACAGGGTATCTGACCTCCTGCCGGTCAGTGCCCTTGTTAGTCCAGCAGCCCACCCACAAAACAGAAACAGCAGTACAGCCCACCCACAATAACTGGTTACTACACCTGAGTAAGGGAGAATCTTGTCCATGTCCAGGTGCCTCACCACAGCTGTGTGGGGGTCTGATAGGCTGCCTTGGTGGGTTGCTGAGTGGGCAGAGACCAGCGGTACTCTGCCCTGATGCCAGTACTACCGCGGGAGTAGTCTGGTTGAAGCCTGGTTGCTGGAGACTGACTGTCTCCCCTTTAGTTACACCGCTCTGCTGCTGGAGACCGACTGTCTCCCCTTTTGTTGCACAGCTCTGCTGCCGGAGGGGGAGACCGACTGTCTCCTCTTTGGATACTCTAAGCTGTCGCTGGGGAAAGGGGGTAACAGGCTCCTCTCCCGATAGAACACTCTGCCGCTGGGGAAAGGAGACTGAGCTCTCTATTCCCTGCCCATTAATGATCGCCGCTGGGGAGAGGTGGTAGCAAGCTCCTCTCCCATACATACTTTCATCCTCTGTGGAGGGAGACCGACTGTCTCCGCTCCCAATACAGTGTCCTGCTGCTGGGGAAAGGAGACTGGGCTCTCTATTCCCTGCTGGACACTCTGCCGCTGGGGAATGGAGACTGGGCTCCCAATTCCCTGCTGTATCTCCCGCTGGGGAATGGAGACTGGGCTCCCAAATCCCAATAAATTACACTGCCGCTGGGGGATGGAGACTAGGCTCCCAATTCCCAAAAAATCACGCTGCTGCTGGGGGGGGAGGACACTGCTCTCCTCTCGCTGGACTTCACACTGCCTTCCCGGCATATCACTTGGCTGCTGGGGGGCAGGAACAACTACCTCTGCCCCCTGTAACTCAGCCTGTCGCTGGGGAGGGAGGACACTGCTCTCCTCTCCCTGTACTTCACACTGCCTTCCCGGCATATCACTCTGCTGCTGGAGGGCAGGAACAACTACCAGGGGTTCAAAAGTTAGTAAAAAGTCCTTTGTGACTAAATGAAGCATGTCTTTCTGGCCCAAACTAGTTTCAGAGTCTTCTATCCTGGAGAGTAATTCAATTATCTCCCAGGACAGACACAAGACTCCATTAAGCACATGGTTGCAAAAAGACACAAAACACTTTAAAATACATAAAGTAACATTTATTACATAAAACACAGACATGTAACATATCCCCAGATAGCTCAGGTCTGAGCGCACATTATTAAGTGAATGGCACTCAGACCACACAAATACAGTTTAATCGCCATGGAGCCAAAGTCTTTACAGTCAGTTTCATACGAATGGGCTCCATGGGATTCCTATCTGGGGTATAACACATTCAACCAAAACTACCGAACCCCAGGCAGAAAAGCACGAATGAAGCTTTTCTGCAGGTAAAAAAGATGTCTTTTAACAGGGGACCATAGTCCAAAGGCAGCAGGCGAGCAACCAGGCTTCTCCAATGCAATGTGGCGAGATTGGTCTCGTCACAACAGTAAACTTGTGTAACATTAAAATGTGAGACAAATTTTAGCTACAATAGGTAAGGACCTACCTAAAAGGGGGCAACCCTGAATAATAATCCACCAAGAGTCCACCCAGAGAAGAGACCTGTCTGTCTCCCAATTTATAGGAAGTCCTGCAGCACTCTCTGCTGGGTCCTAGTGACTGTTCACAGCTCGAGCATGTCTAATGATGTGTGAACACTGTGCTGCCCAACTACATATCACTTGCGTCCCTGGATGCAGGACATCAGGGAACAAAATTGGTCAACAGGACAGGACCCTAATAACGTGATTGTCCTGCTGAAATGGTGGCCATTGGGGGCCTAGTGAAAGTATAGTCAGTAGAGATATTATTCTGAGACAGATTTGAATTAGACTGGAAGTGTAGTAAGGAACAGACTGAGTCATAAATAAAACCTCACATAGGAGCAGCCAAAAGAGAGGAAAGAGGAAGAATATAACTGGCTGTGCTTGGGAGTCGGGTGGACATCAGAAACTGGATAGATAGACTGCAAACATGACTTTACTTGTGAATCTCTCCCATATGAACTTAGAGTCACTTTTCATATGGCTAAAAAAGAATGTGGATAAGTGGCTTCAACATTCTCAGAGCGTATCATATTGAATAATACGCTTCTAATAACTGGGAAAGGTGTTTGCTTTACAGTGCTTCAGATCTGGAATACGACTATTGCGTGGTATTTGGACAAGGCCCCCAAGTTTCAGTACTTGACACAAAAGTATTTCCGTCATTTTACTAGTTTGCTTCATATAATGATCAGAAAGTCTGCTAACAATTTTTTTCTACATAATTAAATGAGAAGTTATGCCCAACAAGATAATCTAGGTTAAATATATTTAAGGGAACAGAATACCTAAATTGCCAATTGCCAGATTTAGTACAGATTGGGCTGCTTTGCGCTTTTCCAAGACAAATAAAGCTCTGCGTTTCCCAAGCAAAGGGACTTTGTAGCAAAGACAGACAGATTTCTAAACTAATTTGCGAATATTTAGGAATATTAATTTTAAGTTTGAAGTTAAAACAGCAGAACCAGAAAATTTCTACAGCTATGCTTTAGGCATCAATCATCATGAATGAAGCTCCTGAGAAAGTCAATTACCAATGAAATGCATTGAGCAAGGGACCCCACGGAAGGGACAACAGCGCCAGCAGGTTTACAGACTTTTATTCTGTTATATGAACTTTAGGAATCTGGAGACTCCCTGTGTGAAGGAGCCCATTCTGGCTACTAAGCGAGTTTTGCACATTAAATTCATTTTAATTGTGCCATTGATATATGTGAGCAGAGGCGTAACTAGAAACCACGGTGCCCTGGTGCAAAAATTGCTCTGGGCCCCCCATACATCTACCTCCCACCCCATACGTCCCTGCTCCCCCATAAGTTTTAGCCCCCCCACACGTCCCCAAACATACAGACAAACAGATTATTATTATTATGATATTTATAGAGCGCCGTCAAATTCCGCAGCGCTGTACAATGGGTGGACGAACAGACATGTAGTTGTAACCAGACAAGTTGGACACACAGGAACAGAGGGGTTCAGGGCCCTGCTCAATGATCTTACATGCTAGAGGGAGTGGGGTAAAATGACACTAAAGGTAAGGATAGTATTAGACTAGTGACAGTTGCAGAAGAGGAATCAGTCAGGAGCTATTAACAGTTTAATTGATACGCTTTTATGAAGAAGTGGGTCTTGAAAGATTTTTTGAAGGAGTGGAGACTGGGTGAGCATCTAACGGAGGAAGGAAGCGAGTTCCACAGGAACGGTGCAGCCCTCGAGAAATCTTGAAGGCGGGCATCAGAGGTGGGAGTACGGACAGAAGATAGACGTAAGTCTTCAGCAGATCGTAAGGGCCTAGATGGGACATACTTGTGTATAAGGAAGGATAAATAGGTGGGAGCAGCATTATGTAGAGATTTGAAGGCAAGAACCAGAATTTTAAATTGAGCTCTATATTTTATAGGAAGCCAATGTAGGGACTGACAGAAGGGTGAGGCATGGGAGGTGTGGGCGGACAGGAAGATGAGCCTCGCCGCCGCATTCATTATTGACTGTAACGGCGCAAGTTGGGAGCATGTAAGACCACTGAGAAGCGGATTACAGTAGTCAAGGCAAGAAAGGACAGTGGAATGGACCAACACCTTAGTCGCATCTGGCGTTAATTAGGGGCGGATGCGCGCAATGTTTTTAAGATGGAAATGACAGGATTTGGCGATAGATTGAACATGAGGCTTGAAGGAGAGGTCGGAGTCAAAGAGAACACCTAGGCAGTGAGCCTGCGTGGTGGAGCTGATGGTAGCACCGTTGACTTGGAGGGAGACAGACACAGGAGTAACAATACTTGAGGGAGGAAAGACCAGAATTTCAGTTTTGGTCAAGTTTAGTTTAAAGAAGTGGGCAGCCATCCAGTTAGAAACAGCAGAGAGGCAGTCAGAGACACTAGTCAAGAGGGACGGGGAGAGATCAGGAGAGGACAGGTAGATTTGCGTGTCATCTGCATAGAAATGATATTGGAAGCCAAAGGAGCTAATGAGTTTACCAAGGGAGGCAGTATAGATGGAGAACAGTAGGGGACCAAGGACTGAACCTTGTGGGACACCAACAGAGAGGAGTTGGGGAGAAGAAGCAGAGCCAGAGAAAGAAACACTGAAAGAGTGCTGGGAGAGGTAGGAGGAGCACCAGGAGAGAGCAATATCTTGTAGACCGATATTGCGGAGGATGAGAAGAAGCTGTTGATGATCAACAGTGTCAAAAGCCGCAGACAGGTCAAGGAGAATTAGGATAGAGTAGTGACCACGAGATTTTGCAGCGAGTAGATCATTGGATACTTTGGTCAGTGCCGTTTCCACAGAGTGCTTAGCGCGGAAACCAGACTGAAGCGGGTCTAGCAGAGAGTTGGACTCGAGGAAGTCTGTCAATCTCGCATACACAATTTTTTCAAGGATCTTGGATGCAAAAGGCAGTAGCGAGATAGGACGATAGTTGGATGGGGAGTTAGGGTCAAGATTGGGCTTCTTTAGAATTGGGGTTACAGTTGCATGTTTGAAGGGCAATGGAAATATACCAGAGGAGAGAGAGAGATTGAGAATTTTAGTGAGAGGTTGAGAAAGAGAAGAAGACAGAGTACGGATGAGATGTGAGGGAATTGGATCTAGGGAGCAGGTGGTGGGGCGGGAGGACTGGAGCAGAGCAGAAACCTCTTCCAATGTAGCGGGTGCGAATGAACATAGAACAGCAGAGGGAGTGAAGTTAGGGGAAGTATTGTGAGGGGAAGAAGAAAGATGAGAGATCTCTTCTCTGATTCTAGAGATCTTGTCAGTGAAGTGAGTTGCAAAGTCTGAGGCGGTCAAGTTAGTAGGTGGAGGAGGAACAGCTGGGCGAAGAAGAGAGTGAAATGTGAAATAGTCGTTTGGGTTCGCGGGAGAGTGTGGTTATGAGGGTATTGAAGTAATTAACTTTTGTAGAGGAAAGAGCCAAGCTGTATGAGCTCAGCATAAATTTATAGTGGAGCAAGTGAGATCCAACAGCATTCAGCAGTTCTGGAGCATTTTTGGAGGTATCGAGTGAGCTTGGTGTGCCAGGGTTGTTGTTCTGCGGCATTTAAATGTACAAGGTGCCATGATGTCTAGTTGAGAGGAGAGGGTGGAATTGTAGAAGGAGGTTGCAGAACTAGGACAGGTGAGGTTTGAGATAGGTAAAAGGAGAGTTTGGAGATTAGTGGAGAAATGCTCTAGGTCAAGACATTGGAGGTTTCTGTGAGAGTGATGTTCAGACGGTGGTGTCAATTGGGTCTTAGGGCCAATGTGTCAGCAGATGGTGGTCATATAGAGGAAAAGGAATATTGGAGAGATTAGAGGCAGTACAGAGGTTGGTGAAGGCAAGATCAAGAGTGTTTCCTGCTGTATGGGTTGCTAAATTGGACCATTGTGTAAGGCCAAAGGAGGAGGTTACAGAGAGCAGACGAGAGGCATCAGTGCAATTGGGGTTATTGATTGGGATATTGAAATCCCCAAGTATAAGGGAAGGATACACACACATGACACATACACACAGAGACCCATACATACAGACATACATACATACACACACAAAGACATGTAGAGACACACACACATATTAACTAGCAGACACACACATACACACACACACACTCACAGACATAAACACACATATACACTCACACATACACACACATACATACACTCACAGACAAACACACACACACTCAGACACACACACATACACCCACAGACACATCCACAGACACACCCACACACTCACAGACACAAATTATTCATATTTTTTAAATTTAAAAATGTCCACCCAGCCTCCCTACCTGGAGAGCTGGCGTGGATCTGTCCCTGGGGTCCAGTGGGACTTCAGTCCGGCAGGTGGTTGTGTTCCCGGCAGAGATGGTGAGGGGGCTGTGTTCTCCTTGCTCTGCTTCCTCATACCGCGCCGGCTGTCTACTGATGCCAGGAGCCTGAATATGACGTCATACGGCGTGCGCCATCTCTGCCGGGAACACAGCCGCCCGCTAAGGGGGTCCATTAGGTGGCCAGCAGGCCATCTCTTTGGCCCCCCTATGACAGGAGGAACACAGGGGGCGGCATCCCGGTCTAAGTGTTCTTTTAGTGAGCACTTCCTGACAGACCGCTCGGCCACGCTACACACAGGCAGGAGGGGAGCAGCACAGCTCTCCCCTCTTGCCAGACGCCCGCGGAGATGAGCCGGTGCGGCTGTGCACCGGCCCAGAAGGTATCCAGACAGCCAACAGTCGCAGGGGTCGTGGCTGCGGCCGGGCCCCCTGAAATGAGGGGCCCAGACGCAGCTGCGACCCCAGCGACAGTGGTAGGTACGTCACTGTATGTGAGCGTTCCATTTGTTTTAATATTTATTTTATATGTATTAAACTTTTGAAAACAATTTTTTTTCTCTTTATTCTTCTTATGCCTATGAGGATCCGATTGAACAAGTAACTGTAAGATTATAATAGTGACTGTGGTGCTCAGATTTGTTTATTAGAGATCACCTATAAACATTATTGTTTTAGCTATGCTTTCAGTTAGGCTACTCTACCCTTAAATTGGAATTTACTTTTAATTCTGACTTTAGTAAAAAGCATTGTAAGATTGTAGTATCTCCTATAATCAATTGGGTCTCACCGTGCTCAGGAGCTAAATTGGCTGTTACAATAGGCTCCATTTATTGAATACATTTTTTTTTTTACCTATAATCGATCAGTAAAAGTTAAAATGGGAAATAATACTAATTTAGAAATTTTATGATCCATTAAAAAAACGCAACAACAAATACAATATTCTTTTGATACATGAGTCTAGTTTGTCACTGTGCCAATCATTCTGTAGGTGCAGGTTATTCTGTTTAGATCCAGGGCCATTTTGAGAGCAAAAGATTTTCTTCTGATTTTTAAATGTAACAGCTATAGATTAACACGAATAAAGTATTCACAAATGGGCATCAAATGAGAATTTGCTATAGGTTAAAGGACGTTAGATTGTGATGTCTCGAATGGACCTGCTGTGTATAAAGTATAATTGGGCAAAAACTGATTTGGAACGATTCGTCTAAATCAAATTCCTTTTAATCCACACCTGAACAAAGTAGTGCTTCTAGAATTTACCATTTGGGTCTTATTCAATCATTAAGACTCCACAGGTAAATCCTAGACAAATAAGTACTGTTTTGCCTGATTTAATATTTTGCTCATAAATTTTGTCAAAGGATCAGCTGTTATGGCAGTTGGAAACATATCAAAATATAGAGGAAATTGATGCGTCTGTACATAAATCACAAATTACATTTTGTCGATCTTGCTACTTTTGCAATTACAAACATAGAGACACTGGTAGGTTTATTCACCAAACTCTGTTTTTTTGTTAATAAAATCCAAATGGAAAAACAGAGGGAAAATAGTTGAAAATAGTTCTCCAACCTTTTGGCTAATTTAATGGTCTTAGTTTTACATTTGTATTTAATTTATGAAATATTATGGATTGCTGAATAGCCCTATGGGTTTCTATAAAGTTGCAAAAACAAGAAGAGAAGGTGACAAAATTAGACAAAATTAGATTTTATAATTCACACCTGTCTAAATGTATGTGTTGTCAAAGAATAACAGAAAAGATGTACATGAACACATTATAACATTTGTTAATGAGAAATTAAAATATTGATTTGGATTTCTTAATGAGACTAGGGGCCTTACATTGCATGGAGTCATTCAAGCAGTTCATTACAGGGAATCATGCATAGATGAACTTACCTACAGAGCACAGTACAGGGTATGAAAACGTGGTTATCAAAGTGCCTTTTCATCATCTGTATGTCTATCTATATATCAGTCTATAGTGTTTCTTCTCATTCAATTAATATGAGGCCTGTTTCTGTCTGACCATCTGTCCGTCTATTTATCTGTTGGGATTCTTCCCATCCATAGGGTGCCAATGCATTTTTTAAATGTTCCTCTTTCCATCCATCCGTCTGTCTATTTATCTGTAGGGTTTCTTCCCAACCATAGGGTGCCAGTCTATTTATCTGTCTGTATACCTATGATATCAAAATATTTTTTTTTGCCTTTGCATTGTATTAAATAAGATATTAATGAAAAATCCTACGTATGCAAACAGTTGAGAGTTTGTATGAATCACCCAAATGAAATACTGATTATTTATTAGGATGTTTTAAGATGCTTATGTGGTAAAAATGAACTGAAAAAGTTAATGGTATATCGGGAAAGTCTTCATTAGGGTTTGGTTTCCCTTCACAAGAGCATTTCTGTGAACAGTTTGTATATGACTGTGTGTTCATAGTTCTTTATTTAAGCTCACCCACATACAAGTTGAATTCCAGCCATGTCAGTTGATACATCCTTAGTTCAAAGACTTTGAATTCCTTTCTGAAGGAATGTGTGAACGCCATAATTCTGTATGTTACCATTCCTGGGAGGGTGTGCCCTTTGCCAAGATATATTTGCATATTACCTGTGCACTCACTACTATACAAGGTCTTTGATAAAGGTATCACTTCATGCAAACTTATCTCTTTTCTCCTATCTTCAGGTAGGTACAAGACGTTCTATTACCTGCTTCCCATCATAGCTAAATCAAGTCTTAATGTCAATCAGCATAATTCTCTGCTCACAAATGTAAATGTGCTTCCTACTACTCGGGTGTCACTCCATGGGATGTATGGTAGACCAAAAAGAAAAAAAAGAGGACATTATAGTGTAGTATTTTAAACTCCTAGGTTTGTGTAAAAATATATTTACAAATTTACACTCATATGTAAATGAGCCCTAGAATTGCTCCTTGTATTTAATGTGAAGTGGTACAATCCCCACTTAAGGATAATTGTTTTTTCAGTGTGAAGTGTTAGAATCTCCACTTAAGGATATTTGTTATCAGCCAGGAAGATCCCTGGCTGGTTTGTGCTTCTGCCTATCTATTCCATCATTGTACTTCTTCCTGCTTTGCTACCTATACTGTATACAAAAAGAGATACATTGCAGAGATTAATTGGAACAATACCAAACTCTTTTTCTAAGAACCTGAATATATGTTTTTAAATGGATTGACATTAGAGTCTTGTTTGCAACTGCTTAAATATCCAATAAACACAAAAGAATTTGGCTACTGAAGTTAATTTACGATGAATACAATTATACAAATAAATAACACACTGAAACTTTTAAAGAACACAAATACTATTAAATATTTAAAAGTTAGAAATATGCTCAGATTAATAACGCCTATTAAAGTAGGAGGCGTCAATGATCATGAATGAGTTTACTGAATGATGCTAAATCTTTTTTTTTTTTTTAAAGGATTATTCCAACCAAAATACAGTGTTTAAATAAAACCTTGTTTTAGTGTAGAGTATCCATAGCTGACAACAAAAGAAAAATGTAAGCAACAAGGAAAAACTCGATTCAGCTCCAAGGCCAAGTTCTCCCTGCAGCCTGATTTTTCTTGTCAGGGAAGACGGGTTTCTATGCATGCTGATGACAGATGCCAAATATGCACAGAATTAACGTTAGCCAGCCCAGAGCACTTATTACGGGCTGGCTAATGACACTGCCAGACGTAGAGTGTATCTCCGGTAGCAAAGGGCTTTAACTCGGTATGTGCAGCGTTTCAGACTGAATCAATGCATATACAGACTCCAAGCACCATGACCACTTTAAAATACTGAAATTGTCATGTGATTAGAGTACCCCTTTAATAGGCATGTAAACTCTATTGTGTTTTGGTGACAGTAAATGAAACCATTTTTTTTCAATGTCTAAGCTTCTGAGGTTCAGTGAAATACTCTAAACCTAAATCTTCAGAAATCACAGGTTCGGAGGGGTCAGTACGGGAGGCAGACTGTGTGCATTCATGGCTCACAATACACACAGCAGATAATGACATCTGAGACTCCGGTGCTAGCATCATCCAAAAAAAGTCTAAACCAGAGCCAGAACTCTTAGAAAAGTTATATAACACTGGAAAAGAAAGGAAATTACAGGACATATGTGTTAAGTATATGACTAGCAAATGTATAAATCTACATATATATTAAATAAGGAGCATCTACAATACCTGATTACATCTAGAGGTAGAGGTCCAGATGTTCCGTGGGTGTCTGTGGTAAAAGCATACCATCTCCATGTAGAAACAATCTACAGGCAAACTAGAACTGGGTGGGAACTAAATACTTTATTTTTATTAAAGGGACTCTATAGTCCATGCTCTAATAATTTCACGAATGGATTATTGTAACCCTCTCCTGCTTGGTCTACCCAAAAGCCGTACTGCACCCCTACAGTCTGTAATGAATGCTGCTGCTAGACTGATTTTCCTCTCTAGTCGGTTCTCTCACACCTCACCCCTCTGCCAGTCCTTTCATTGGCTTCCTGTGTGCTATAGGAGTCAATTCAAGGCACTAACTCACACCTATAAAGCACTGAACAACTCTAGCCCCTCTTATATCTCCTCACTGATCCACAGGTATGTCCCTTCTCGGTCTCTCCGCTCTGCCCGTGACCACCTCCTGTCCGTTGTCCGCACCCGTACGGCCAACTCGCGCTTGCAGGACTTCTCGCGGGCGGCTCCCTTCCTATGGAATAGCCTGCCTACCGCCATCCGACTATCCCCTAGTCTTGCATCTTTTAAGAAGTGCCTTAAATCCCATCTCTTTAGGAAAGCTTATGGCCTCCAAGACTAACCCCTACCTCACATACCCGTCTCTTGCCCTCTCCTAAAGGGCAGCCCACCTTATTTGATTGCACATTCCTGTCCTAATATGTTTTACACCCCACCTAGAATGTAAGCTCGATTGAGCAGGGTCCTCTTCAACCTATTGTTCCTGTAAGTTTATTTGTAATTGTCCTATTTATAGTTAAATCCCCTTTCATAATATTGTAAAGCGCTACGGAATCTGTTGGCGCTATATAAATGGCAATAATAATAATAATAATAATAATAATAGTCAACTACAGCTTATTGTATTTGTTCTGGTGCGTATAATCATTCCCTTCAAGCTTTTTGCAGTAAACACTGTCCTTTCAAAAAAATGCAGTGTTTACATTACAGCCTAGTGATAACTTCACTGGCCACTCCTCAGAGGTGCTTCCTGGGGCAGTGCCACAGACTCTGCAGAACTGTCATTCAGTGTCTTACCCTTTGCATCAGTGGCGGATCCAGAACCCAATCTCGGGAGGGGCACATGGTTATTTATAGAAACAATCCAGGCACAATAACCACTACAGCTCTCTGTAGTGGTTATGGTGCCAATAGTGTTGTGGCACCCTCCCAGAGTAAGTAGTCAAACTGTTTAAGAACAGTTTGACAATTTACCTGGGGTCTGTCAGGGTAGGTGTTAGAGTCTGTAGTAGAGGCAGTAGTGTGGGTTGTGCAACGTGTGAGGGGTGTAGTGTGTGTGCATGAGGGGTACAGTGTCTGTTTGTGTATTAGGGGTGTAGTGTGTGACAGGATTACAGTGTGTGTGTATGAGGGGTGTAGTGTGTGACATGATTACAGTGTGTGTGTATGAGGGGTGTAGTGTGTGTCAGGATTACAGTGTGTGTGTATGAGGGGTGTAGTGTGTGTGAGGGATACAGTTTGTGTTTATGAGTGGTGTAGTGTGTGAGAGGTGCAGTGTGTGTATGTTTGGGGCAGTGTGTGTGGGGGGTGCAGTGTGTGTGTGTGAGGGGTGCTGAGAGGGAATGGGGGGCAGTGTGTGGGAGTGAGGGGTGCAGTGTGTGTATGGAGGTTCAATGTTTGGTGTGGTGCAGTGTGTGAGTGAGGGGGG